AGCGATTTCGCCTCCTGCATTTGGGTCCATACTACTGACATGATCATTATAGATATTAGATAACATGGTGGGAGTATATGACACAAGACACTTGTTTTGTTTGTGTTCTTAAAATGTTTCCCACACCTATTGGTCGTATGGTGATCATATGCTATTCCCTGCAAAGTTTTAAGTTACTTTTAGGTGGTCATACTATAATCAAGCTACTGTTAATCCATGACGATGTTTAGTGTGTGAGCACTAAGCAAGAGTGCTCACACACTAAACAGCAAAAAAGTCCAAAAAAAGGTTATGAATTTAGTTAAACTACCCACAAGCTGCTGCAAACAGCAAGTGCTCTGCTGGATGGCGAGGAACAAAAGACATGGATGGGGCAGTGTCTTTTGAAGGGAGAGAAAGGCATAGAAAATACATAATGCACAGATAGATGGCATTTATATATATATATATATAAAAATAATAATAATAACAAAAACAAATAGTGTCTCTCTGCACAGTTTAGTCCTGGCATTGCTCTGACAAGCGCTCTTTGGACTAGGTGAGAATGTGAGACTGACCTCTGGTGGCTGAACTGACAACAACAGAATTTAAGATTTTTGCCATGTGAAAAGCATCTTTATACAGCTCCCCCAGCCAGAGTATGCAATCAAGAGTCCAGAATTCATGGACAACCTCCCCCTTGCTCCCTTCCAGCCACCCACCCACCCAAATGCAGTCAGAGGTTGATAAAATGAGCAGAAGTTGAGAGATTTTTAAAAAAAAAATCAGCCTTGATGTTGATCTCTAAAGCAGAGGAGTGAAGTGATAAGAGGACAATGGACAGAGCTGGATCACACACTCGCAAAGGAAATGACTGTGTCTTTTTTTGTACTTGTTCCTGGGTTTTTGAGAAGTCTACATTATGTCGGCATGTCGGGTTGTGGCCATCTTTCACCATTTCAACCCCATTAGACTCTGTTTCTACAGGTGAAATCGCCTTTCTGTCAGCTAACTCTTTGCTCTGTCTGCCTGCTCATCACGTTGCCTGAATCTCTGGCTCCATGCATGCAGCCAAGCACAACCCACAGCCTTATGAGACCCTATGCTGAGGCTCAGCAGAGGGGTTACTGTATATGCACAGCATAGAAGTGTAAAGTGAGTCAGCATGGAGAGGCAGAGCCCGCACACTAGAAGTCTGGACACACACCTTTCATCATCAGGGATTCTAGGGTAAGGCATTTAAGGCAAATGCTCAGTGGGCCATAAAGTTGGTAATTACTCCCGGGTACACATACATCACGGCTGATAGGGACATATGAGGACAGGGTGTAAACAAATAACAGGGAATTCCTATCACTGCTTCTGGTATTTGATATCATCTGTTTTTATGTTTCGACCCCAGCTAGTTTTAGTCTTTCTTTTAGATATTTGACTGTTTTTATTTGGTTTTATCTATAGCTTATGCATTTTTATTATTTAGTTCCAGTGTACAGCACTTTGTGTCAGCTGTGGTTGTTTTAAAGTTCTCTATAAATAAAGATGAAATTGTATGGTATGTTGCTTTAAGCTGTGAATACTAATCACACTGTGTAACTTTGTTGAGAAGAATTTAATAGTTTTCTTTCCAGTGGTCAGCAGCTCTGGCCACTAAAAGATGTCAAAAAAAAATGGAAAAAATGAAAAATGAGGATGAAAACAGTGTCAGTAAATGACATCAAAATAAGGCAGAACTCTGCTCTTAGCGTAGCTTTTATTACATTACAATTTGGGTAAAAACATTTATCTGGCAGGCAGGAGGGTAGCCTATTGAGATTTACTCCCTGAACAGATTTTTTACCTGCTTTTGGCACTTAGCAGTGTTCATTCTGGATTTTGTAGACTGATACTTTTGTACCAAATGGACATGTAGACCTAAAAGCACGGTGGTGGACTGACAGGTGTACAAGCAGATTAGACGGCAGGCAGGCAGATGAATATCAAACAGTCTGACATGGTTGATTCTGCCAGGGACACTGAATTATAATCACTGCACAGCTGGCCAAAACGAAAACGGTAATAATACTCTGCTAAGGTTATCCTAACAATATGCAGTCTAATTTTTCATCTGTGGTTGTGTTGCGGTGATAAACTGCTGTACAAGCAACAGCAAATAAGATCACAGCACAAGCTGGCAAAAATCATGCTGCACTAAATCTACAAATTAGATTTGGGCTTGTTAGCAAAACTCAACAAATATCCCAGGCTCTCTTTAAACTAGGAGGGTGAATAAAGCAAGACAAAAAAAGCAATGAAAGAATTTTCCTGTATTTTCAGTAAATAAGAGAACAGTATATACCAGAGTAATTACAAACCAACTTGTAACACATGATTTGCTTTACTGGATTGAGCAGATATATTGTAATGTGAGCTATTTAAATCTGTAGATGTCTTTCTCTCAGAAAATGAGTAATGATAGGTGACAGAGCGAGACCTCAGAGAGTGTTTTCTTTCTCAGATGAGTGATGATAAACAGAATGATTCTGTCAGCAATCTAAGACAGATAACTTTCCTCCAAATATCCGACAATGACAGTGAAACATCCGCTGCCACTTTGATCGCAGCTGATAGGAAAGGATGGGTGAGCAGAGACACGGAGAAGCTAAAATGAAGAAAAAAAGGCAGAATAACTAAGATTGAGACTGATTTGTTGAAGCATCCAGTTGCTTTATAAGCAGATTTATACTGCAAAACAAATGATTTGTATGAAAATGAATTAACAGGGGTGGCTGATACTGAAAAAGTGAAGTGAAAACATATTTTAAAAATTGTATGGGTGGTTTATGGCACCAGATGGTTAGTACAAGTTGTTCAGCTAAATGGTGCATTTCCATATTTAAAATGAATGACCCTGATAATACCATGAATGCAGCACTTAAGGAAGTGAAGTGCATTCAAAAAGCAGAATTTCAACTGCATGATTTTTAATTATGAAACATCAGAGTTCATCCTGGTTAGTTTGTGTGTGCAGAATGAGGACTAATAGCAAGAGGGTGCAAGAGGATATGTACATACTGTACATATTTAAAAAAGGGTTCATTTCTAAATGATTACAACTCATTCAGATGGTGTAAGTACTATACTTCTCTTGGTCTTGTTCAGTAGACGCCACATATCACAATCATCGGGATGACTGCTGATTTGATACCTGTCCAGATGATGATCATCATTATCGACACCCTCCATGTGAGGGTAATTGCTGTAAAAAGGCTGGCTGTTCAGAGAGTGCCCAGTCGAAGAATATTAATGTTGAAAAAAAAAGCCTATAATCTGGAGAGCTTCATGGGGATGGATGAGGCTGGTGTCAGTGCAACAAGAGCCACCATACACAGACATCTTCAGGAGAGGGGCAACAACTGTTGCATTCATATCAAGCCAGTCCTGAATGAGAGCCTGAGCCAGAAATGTCTGTCGATTAAGAATGAAAACAACTGAATTGCTGGCGAAGTCCTCTATTCAGATGAAAGTCAATTTTGCATTTCATTCAGAAATCAAGGTCCTAAAGTCTGGTGATTAGAGAGGCACAGAATCCAATGTGTTTTAAGTTTAGAGTGAATTTTCCACAGTCTGTGATGATTTGCGATGCCTGTCATCTGCCGGTGCTAGTGGTGGTTGGTCCGCTGTGTTTTAAGTCCAAAGACAATGCAGCTACCAGGAGATTTAGGAGCATTTCATCCTTCAAGCTGTATGGAGATGCACGTTAACGTTTTCAGCAGGACTTAGGTTTGGCACACTGGGCAGATGCTATTTCCACATGGTTTCCTGACCATGTTATTACTATGCTTGTTTGGCTAACTATCTCACCTGACCGGCATCACATAGATAATCTGTTGGGCACTATTAAGAGGAAGATGAGAAACAGCTGAATTACAAATACAGAGAAGCTGAAAACCAGTATCAAAGCAGCCTGGACATCAGTAACAGTGCCACAAGCTGATCACCTCCATGCCATGCTGCATTAATGCAAGAACTCTTAGTAAAGAAGCCCTAACAGAGCATTGACTGTATACAGAAGTTGGATATTCTTGTACTGTAAATCCAGTTTTAATTAATCATAGTAAATATTCTAATAATCTGAGATACTGGATTTATGATTTACAGGAAGCTATAAGCCATAATCATCAAAATGAAAACAAAAAAGCTTAAAATATTTTACTTTGCATGAAGAATATAGTATAAAGAACAAGGATAAAGACAGAACACTGTCTACTTTCTGGTTAATAGAGCCCACTGCGTCTTGCCTGGCACAAATATGGAGCAGGCTCTCCTCGCTGCTCTTGTTGCTTTGATATGGTCAAATCTTAGTAGTAGGTCGAAATGCTTGGCCTCATAATTAACCAGTTGCCGTATCATTTTCCTTCCAGACAGTACTGGCCTTGAAATGATATCAATATTGATGCAATTCCCAGAGCTCAGATTGAATCTGACATTGATATCTCTTACTGTGATGTCAGTTTCATTTCATTTTTCTTTTGGTCACGGTAGCAGAGTGGTTTGCTCAGTAAACACAAAATGGTGATAGGGAAATGACTGGTGTCATATCCACAATGTTGTTAAAGCTATGAAATCATATCACAGTTCACCAGTGTCTTGAGATTTTAGTAACAGTGTATCCAATTCACTTTCTCAATATTATATTTAACCAAATAGACTGATTGCCTGAGGGTAGATTAAAGTTCGATCTCTGCTTCTGATAAGACACCACAGATTTAATGAACGACCTCAGTCAAAAGGGCATGTCTTATACTGTCCTTGGGGTGCTTTAACTTTAATACTTTAACAGATTTGTTTTTTCCCTTTTGCCGTCTTATGTAAAATGATCAGTGCGGGGTTGTGTTTTAAAATGCTGCACCATATTTCTGAAAAGTTTTGGAGAAGTGAAAGGGACAAAATTTCAGAAATGGAGAGAGATGGTCAGACCACACATAGTCACACACATTCTCCCAGCACATACTACTCCACTCCGACAGCCAGGTATAACTCACGTGGTGAAGGCAGGGTTGTACTTTGCTCCGAGGTAATATGAGTACAGGTTGAACATGCCGATCATGAAGGCCACAAACACCATGATGAAAATGACCATAAACTTGAAGATGTCCTTGACTGTGCGCCCGAGTGAAATCTGCAGGGGTCCGAAGCTCTCATTGGCTGGCAGTATGTAGGCGATGCGAGAGAAGCTCAGAACGACGGCGATGGCGTACAGGCCTTCTGAGATGATCTGAGGATCTGATGGGCGCCACTTGTTTCTGGCTGAAGGGAGAATAAGCCACAGAATGGTTGTTTTGTAATATTATAATTTTATTAGCAAATCAGACATTAAAAGGGATCTTTGGCCATTTTTTCACCTAATTAACTACACTAAATAAAATCTGATATGTTAAACAAACTCTGTAATTAGTGCTGAAATGATATTCATATTTTAATTCAGAAGCCAGCTTGGAGGGATTCAAGATTTAAATATCTGCTAATAACTGTTTAGAAACTGTTGCTGATGCTAAATATGTACTAGCACTTTATAAACCAAATATTAAACGTTACATAAGAAGGGGTTAAAGCGGTGTTACCTTAAACTCTACTGTGCACATGCAGTTTGTCACTCATCGTCCCATTGCTTGCTATTCAAAGTCTTTTTGGTTACAGCGCACTGAGTAAACCTCTGGTTGTAGTGCGATCCAAATGTTTGTAAGATATGTTTCTATGAAGAATAATCTCAGCTTTAAGAAGCACGGATTTCGACGAAGGAGACGGTGCAGTAAGAAGATGGATTAAGTGAGGAATGGAAAAACGAAAGTCAGAGTAAAAGTTTGAAGAGAAGAGTGAGTGAAGCAAGAGGAGGGAAAGAAATTAGTCTGAGCTGTGTGGACGGCAAAGGGAAGGGATAAAGGGATAGTGTGTCCAAGGAGAAGTAAGGACAGCTAGAGAGGAAATAACTGAGATATCAAAGAAGACTGATGTGGCTAGGTGGCAATGTAAGATACAAGAGAGATGAGTCAAATAAAAGAAAAATAGCTTCCATTTCACTATTTTATCAAAATCATAGTTTATTAGTATAACATTTTCACACCTTTACAGATATTGGGACATTTAGGGGAAGGTTTATGAGGATTATATGTGAGAGTGCAGTAATAGAACCTTTATCGATTTATTGATATGTCATGACAGAGTCAGGCCACCAGATGACAGCACTGATGAAGGTTCTATTAGTGGACCGCTAAGTGCACAGTGCAGTGGGCTGCAGCCTGTGGCAGGGTTTGCTATGGTGGAGGCATGTTTTTGTCCTGGTGTTTAACTGAATGCATGCTTATCATTCAGGGATTAAAGATAATGTTGATTTTTTTGTCATTCTTTTTTTACTCATTCTGGTCATCTGACTGCAGTAGCATGTGTGTAGCAGCAAATCAACCATTGCAGGGATTGTTTTATTACTGTGAAGATCTCCAGGTGACAACCCCAATTCTGAAGGAGTAGTGATGCTGCATAAAACGTAATTAAAAAGAGAACTAACCCAGATTTTATTCACAACGGAACAAACAAAACATATCAAATTTTAGAGAGAGAAAATGCAGTGTTTTAGAAAAAATATTAGCTCATTTTGAATTTGATGCCAACAAACATGGCTCAAAAAAGCTGAGACAGGATGATGTTTACCACCAGATGTTTACTTATTAAAAGAAGAGTGGATGCAACCACTCTTCTTTTAACAAGTAAACATCTGGTAACTGAAAAGACCAGTTTTCTGTTCCATGATGTGCCAAGTTTTTTCAGTTCCTGAAAGGTCTGTACTACAGAGGGTCGAGTTCAGCATCTGGATTCGTCTACTATGAAGTTGTAATAGCTTTAATATTCTCTCTCATAAATATGTAAGGCCTTCCCTGAAAAAAGATGTCATCTGGATGGCAGCATATGTTGATTTAAAACCTGTATATACCTTTTAGGACTGATGGTGCCTTTCCAGATGTGCAGGTTGCCAGTACCACAACTAAAGCAACCTCATACCATCAGAGATGTTCATTTTAAGTTCACTTTGGTCCAGACAAGATGGCACATTTATTCACATATTGTTTCTTCTTTGCATGACAGACCTTTAACCTGTATTGTAGTTGGCTATTGAGCTCACGCATGTCATGATTTCCATGGCAGAATCACACCTTGTTTGAATGCAGTGCTGCCTGAGGGGCTGAAGATCACAGGTATTCCAATATTGATTTTCAGCCTCATCTCTGATTTTTCCAGATTCTCTGACTCCTTTGATTAGATATTCGACATCTTCACAATTTTCCACAGGGGAGCATTGTTCTGATATTGTTCTACAATTTGTAGATGCGTTTGTTTTTTTTGCAGATTGGTGAACCTCTGCTCATCTTCTGAGAAACTCTGCCTTTCTAAGATGCTCTGTTTATACCCACTCATGTTGCTGACCTGTCGCCAGTTACCCTAATTAGATGCAAAATGCTCCTCAAGCTGTTTCCTTTTACAACCACTTCCCTTTTCAGCCTTTTTGTTACCCCCTGTCAAATCTTCTTTTGATAGGTGCCATCAAATTCAAAATGAGCCAATTTTGGAAAATGGTTGCGGATCTAAAGAAATACATTTTCAGCTTCAAGTATCATGTTCAGTCCGGGTTTCTGTAATTAATGGCGTTTTTGCACTCATCTAATTTGCTATTCCTTATCAGTGACTGATGTAGCCCAACACTGATTCAAGCACCTCTATATAATATTGATAATAATATTTATAATATAAATGTAGCTTATATTTAACTTATATGATTCTTTTTATTGACTACTCACCGTAAGTGAAATAAGCCACTTCATCAGGCAGTGAGGCGTTGCTGAGGTCGTCATCTGGTACATGCATGTCGACATATTGCTGGGCCTTGGATGCCTTCAGGAATGCCATGAAGCGTGCCGTGAAGGATGCCACGAAGATGGATAACATACCAAAGTCCAGAACATTCCAAAGGTGCATGACATACTCCCTGGGTCCGTCACTCCAGATCTCCTTGCACTCTGACCAAATCATGCCTGAACATAAAAGACACATATAGACAAAAATAACACAAAAATAAGGAGGCCGTTGCCAGCACTTATATAGGGATGCATAAATGAAGCACGTACAAACAGATGTCGACAACAAAGCTTGTAATTGAAAATGAACCACTCAGACGTGTGGCACTTACAGATCAGGTGGATGCAAACACATACACACTCCATTCTCTATTTGGAGCCAAAACACAGTTAAAATTGCCTAGAGAGAAGGCGCCCTGATCAGTATCATCTCTCTAACAATTACTGGGCCTTCAAAGCATGCTACCGGAATTACAATTACTACATCTAACTAAGCCACCACTCAATGCACACACATACACTCACAGATTCATGTAGATAAACAGTCACATGTGCAGCGGCTGCTAAAAATTTACTGTAGATGGGAAAAAAAATGATGCCATTACATATAAACAAATAAAAACAGAGGCACATGTGCACCAACATACACAGACCACACACATAATATTGTTATAAGTGTGTGCATGAGCGGAAGCAGATGGGAAGCAGCTGAGCTCTGACAGATACTGCTGTGGGCTATTTATCCACCAAGTTTGTCTTTGTCTGCCTGTCTGTCACCCTCTTCTATCTCCTTCGATTCCTCACGCCTGCCTTCCTGTATTCCACGCACACACCCTACTCTGCTTTCTTTTGTCGCCCTCAACTACTCCCAACTTTCCTTCCATTTTTCTTTCATTCCGTTTCTCCCTCTTATATTTCCTCTGCACAGCCTCCCAGGTCAACCTCCCAATTTCCCTCCAGGTTATCGTTAGGACTCAGCGGGGCTACTGTCTGCGCTGTACCAACCAGAAAATTTCTTTTTGATCTTCGGAGGATAAAAGAGCATGATTTGTTGTGTTTCTGTAACCTTGGCTTTCATTCACTTGCCTGGTAGGGCACTCTATTAAACTTGAATTACACCTCATATCAAAGGTGGGCAAAAAGTTTTCTGACTATTTCCAGACTGTTTACTGATTTATGGTGAAGGTGTATGTAGAAAAAAACTTGAAAAGAAACTTTGGATTAGCATAGAAAAATGTGCAAACCTAGGACAAAGTATATTCATGGTTAATAACATAATAAAGTGCACGCATTGCAAAAAAAGAACACGCTTAGCTGTGCCTTGCTTACTTGGCACATCAAGGTTATTTTTTATCACGTTGGACAATCTGCTTTGACAGGGACAATCTATTCTAATCTAATCAACTGATGTGCATTTTAATTGGCTGTAACTGTGCACAGCCACACTGTGTGTGTGTATGATTTGATTGAAAGGGTGACTTACCCAATACCCACTTCATTATCAACATCTCTGTCCAGGAAAACTGGGTGGTTTTGACCCTGAACACCTGTCGAGGATGGTCTGTGATGGTCTCGTTGGGAAGGTTCTTTACTCCTTCAAAGCGGTCGGAAGCATTGACGACCAGGAGACCCAGGAAGATGGTGAAGGAGACAGCGTGAGCCACAAACTTCATGAAGGGGCTTCGCAGGATCTGACCAAGCTGGAAGTGAAAAAATTTAGGAACTTCCAATGTGTTTACTATTCCAATGCGTCAAATATTAAGAATCAATTATGGTAATATAGATATAGATTAACAATATCAATTTAAATTTGCATTTACTGATCAGAAAACAAATAGTAGAAAACAAAAACAGTGGGGTATTGACACATTAAGCAAAATTTCACCGTCTATCTGTGATTACAACAGCCAACAAATTCTGTTTTACAGTAAAGAAACATGTTTGAGTGATTTTTGGACGGACAAAATTGCAGCCAAGCTCAACATCTGCTTTTATTTACTGAGATGAATCATGCTTTCTGCAGAGTTCCTGAGACTTTGGTCCTCAGAGAGAGCAAAAAATGCTGCAAAGCACCACTACACCACCATTTTAGCAGACAAACAGCAGCTGTTGTAATTCATGAATGTGCGTAACCACCGATCACTCTCACACACACATTATGCCAGAGTAACTAGATGCCAAACCATTAGCAGAGCCTGTGGAAATGCACTGCATCAAGCAAAAGTAATGCAAGACGGTACAGCACAAATAGCATTTAACAAGCCACCACACAGAGGGGCATTTTTGTAATTGCACATAAGTGTGCCAAGTCACACAAATGCACTTACACACTTAGACACACGCACACTTCTAACCCCATACGGGCATTTGAGATCCCAACATTTGCTACTCTCTGAACCTGCTGTGTTCAATATTAACTACCCACAGGATATCTCTACTCTCTGCATGAACAATAATACATCAGATTCAGTAGCTCTTCCCATGCCACACACATACTGCTAAGTCATGGGGGAAGAGGTTGTCTGGTAATTTTTAACCTTGCAAAACCTCCTTTAAACCTCTTCATGACACCTTCATCCCTCCCAGCATCTGTGCCGATCCATTTCACTCCTCAGGTTAAATAAGATGGTCATCTCAGATCAGACCTTCTGCTGTGTGGCGACTGCAGACTCCATGGGTTTCTTTAGTGTGATGGTGATAAGAGCTTGTCTCCTCCAACAAAATGGCAGCTGCTAGCAGGAGGTATGTGCATATTAAATAAGTAGAAGCCTGGTGTGAAAATCATCTAAAGCCAGGATGGATCTTCTTTTTCTCTTATTATAAGGTCTTTTTACCTGGGAGAATACATAATGTTTCTTAAGTGCCCATAAAAACCTTACCCAATTTAAGTTTGGCTAATTTCCTGTTCAAGATAATCATTTCGGGCATACCCAGACAGCTTCCAGTGCTGCAGAAGCTCCCAAGATGTCAATAAAGATCACTTGGGATTTCATCTCAAACCTGCACAGACAGCAAACTAGGACTTCTTTTTAAAACTGATGTGTATTACCCATGAAGGTCCACTGCTGGTGTTGATAGCTGGACCTCTTACCACGACCAAGCAGCTGAGAGCAGTTTTTAGCTGAAGGTTCAGTGCTTTAGATGAGGAAAGAGATCTGAAGGATGCTTTTCTCCCCCAAACATTCACAGGGTTCTGCACCGTGAACTGATCCCTCAGGGAGATGCTGTCAATGTGGAGTTTTACTTTAACGTCTACTAAAAACACACTGAAAATGCGAATACGATTTTTGGCCACAGCCACATAATCTTTACTCACTGTCAACAGTTCTTTAAGTCCTGTTCTGGATTCTTTTTTGACCTCCTGGATGCGTCACAGATGAAGTCTCTATTTGTGGAGATGGTGATTCACTGGAGTCTCAAAGCTTTAAAAAGTGGCTTTGTAACCCTTTCCAGACTGCTAGATGTCAATGACTTTGCTTCTCATCAGTTTTTGAGTTTTTTTAGATCGTGGCATGATGTGTTGCTTTTTGAGATCTTTGGTCCGGTTTTACTTTGTCAGACAGGGGTCGCAGTAGCTCAGGAGGTAGAGCAGAAGATGATCAGAGGATTGGCTGCACCAGTCTGTGTGTTAAAGTATCCATAGGCAAAATACAGTTGCTCTCTGATGCACTCACTGGAGTGTGAATGTTAGATAGAAAGCACTTAAGTAATCAGTAATCAGGCACAGACTGGTGAAATTGAACTCAGCTTTCAAAAAAATATTGTTAATCACAGTTAATTCATAATTTAAAAAGGACAGATTTTTTTTTTGCCTAATAAATGAAATGATTATTTACAAACTACATTTTTTATTTATTTGGGGTCTCTTTATCCAACATCAAAATTATTTGATGATTTGAAACATTTATATATCAGTAATATACAGAAACAAAGACACCAGGAAGGGGGCAAACACCTTCTGTAAAACACCTAACCCTTTTTCACAGCACCATGGCATCCACTTAGAGGTGCAAGAGAAAACGATCTTGAAGCAAAAACGGCAATGCTTTTGTTTTGTTTTTCTGGACATTTCCTGGAACTTTTTAAAATTTTTGTAAAGAAAGACTATGAATAATTTATAAATTTACACCCATCTAATCAATTCAGGGTCACTAGATAGACTAGAGCCTGTCCCAGCAACCAAAGGAAAAGAGGGAAGGTTACACCCTGGACAGGTCATCAGCCTGTCGCAGAGCTAACAGAGAGAGACAGACAACCATTCACACTTACATTCACACCTATGGGCACTTCAGAATCTCTAATTAACCTAACCTTACTAACTGCATGTCTTTGGACTGTGGGAGGAAGCTGGAGTGCCCGGAGTGAACCCACAGCCACATGAAAAGATCTTATTTTTTCCTAAAATATATTAAATACACTGCATACTTTGGGTTAACTATATAATCATATAGAGGACCTTTACTAATGTGTACATTTTCACATCTATACTCTGTTTCTCTTTGCAGCTATCTCTTTAATTCAAACTAAAGAGATATTTCCAGCAATGCAAACTACACTGCATTCTGGTTAGTGAGCCTTAATATATACAATATTAATCAAATAGCTTCCTCATGTTATATTGGACTGAAGTAAATATTTGAAAGAATTTGCTCAGTGCTTGGAGGTAAAATAAATGAAGTCTGCTATGTTGCTTGCTTTACCCTGACCTACATTAGCTGTAAAAAAAAAA